GGGCTTTATTTCCTGAAGTATGGACTGGTTGGATCTTCTCGCGGTCCAAGGCACTCTCAGAACTTTCCTTCAACACCACAATTCAAAAGCATCTATCTTCAGCCTTCCCTATGGTCCAGCTCTCACATCCATAGGTGACTACGGGGAATACCATTGCTTTAACTATGCAGATCTTTGTTGTCAGTGTGATATCTCTACTCTTCAGTATTTTATCGAGATTGGTGATTGCTCTCCTCCCAAGAAGTAAGTGTCTTCTGATTTCTTGGCTGCAGTCTGCATCTGCAGTAATCTTTGCACCTAGAAATACAAAGTCTGTCACTGCCTCCACGTTTTCTCCCTCTATTTGCCAGTTATCATTCTTGCTGCCATAATCTTGGGTTTTTTATGTTTAGCTGCAACCCAGCTTTTGTAATTTCTTCTTTCACCTTGATTAGAAGGCTCCTCAGCTCCTCCTCACTTTCAATTGTATCCAAGCACTGCTTTAGCGACTTTCTAGGCTACTCAATTTATTTGGTGTTCCTCTTTTCCGCAGTAGTAGATCTGGTGGTCATCTGATGTGAAGTGGCTCATTCCAGTCCATTTCAGTTTGCTCCACCTTTGAGCTAGCTGTGTCATCACATTTATGGCTAGTTGAACTTATCCTCTGCTCCTCCCCAGTAGCATTTTGACCACCTTCCGACCTGGGAGTCCCATCTTCTGATGGCATACCGACATATCTCTGGTTGTACTGGTCCATTTAGTTTTCTTCGCAAGAATTCTGGGGTGTTTTGCCATTGCCGTCCCCAGGGATCGTGCTTGGTCTGACCTCTCTGCCACGACCGTCCCATCTTGAGTGTCCCTTCACGGTTCCGCTTGTGACATCATTGAAGTGCTCAAGCTCCAGTGCCATGACAAGGCAGCGATCCTTTGCTGGAGGATTATATGTATATCTTACCATATTTAAAAGATGTTCATAAATATTTTATAATAAAATATGAGATGTTCAGATATGAAGCTTCAGTTTCATTGACAAATACAGTTACAAATACAATCAAAGCACTCCCAACAGATGGCCATCCAGTCTCTGTTTAAAAGCCTCCAGAGAAGGAGACTCCACTATTCCACTGCCGAATAGAGCTTATCCACAGGAAATTCGTCCTAATATTTAGTTGAAATTGCTTTTCCTGCAATTTGAACCCATTGTTCTGTGTTTAGTCTTCAAAGCAGCAGAAAACAACCTGTCCCCTCTTCAATGTGGCATCCTTTCAAATAGTTAAACATGGCTATCGTGTCTCCTCTCACCCTTTTCCCACCACCAAGTTTGGCTTCCAAAGCTTTGATTATTTTGGTCGCCATTCTGTGGACACGTTCTAGACAAGAAATGCTCAAAGAGAAGAGAGTTCATTATTATTATTATTATTATTATTATTATTATTATTATTACATTATGCTGACACAAAACCACAGTATGTCACAGCAAACGCGATCTATATGCTGGATTTCATATCACAAAATCACAAGTCAAACACTTCCCAAGCGTCTAGGACTGTGTGATTTATTATTATTGTGCTGGTACAGCTGTACCAGAAGCTCCCACTTTATTTGCCTTGTATTAAGTGTTTGCTTGCAGCCCGAGGCTTGGGATTCTGCAGAAGGGTGGCTTCCTGTTAAAGTTTGCAGTTATAGGGCAGGCCCCATGTCCATCACCGTTAAGTTTGGTTCCGCCCCCTGTTCAGGACAATTGTGAAGGGAAGGGAGCCATTTTCAGTTAGTCTCAGCAAGGAAAGTCAATGTACAGGACGTGTACAGACTTTCTCCTGTACAAAGGCTTCAACCCTTAAGACCTCCCGGGGGAGAACAGTCTTAAGAGCATCTAAAGATTCCCAAAGGTTCCCAGGGAAACAGCCTTACAGCCCCGAGGAATTTTGGAGGGAATAACAGCTTTAAACATCAAGAACTCCAGCTAAGTGACTACAGGCCTAAGTCCACTCGGTTTTGAGACACAGTTCAGCCCGGTAGTGGATCCACATCAGTTAGGTTTAGGATCACAGTTAGCCTGGGAGAAGTTTGGAAAGAGATTTTCCTTTAGAGTAAAAGTAATAGTTAGAAGCCACCAGTTGCACAAAGCCTGGAAGCATTTGCTTATCCTTTTGGAAACAAAATAAGTTTCTCCTGATTGTTCACCAATAAAAGACTTTGTTATATTTTACAAGCCCTCTAGAGACTGTTTATGGTGAAAATCCTTACGAATTTCTCTTTGGGCCCCCTGGCTTCCCGCTGGGCTAAAGTTGCACGTCCTGTTTTAAAAGCAATTAATTACAGGCCCAGCGGCGACAGAACAATTATTATTATTATTATTATTATTATTATTATTATTATTATTATTTGCAATGTTAAATGTCAAAATACATCTTTCCATCCATATCTAATCTAAATCATCTAATTAGAGAACTAGTCTTACTGATCTCAAGCACAGATATTTTAGAATGAGGTTTCCATGAATTAGTAAAACTGATTTTATTCTTCAAATCATCAGATAAATATTGGATTTTGCAGTGCCAATTTTGATCCTTTTTTGTCAAAATATCAACAGCAGACATTTTCACGCCATGGTAATATTTTTATTCTGTTTCAGCTTCTAAACAATTTTCAGATGAAGTTTTGAAGGCCCACAATGACTACAGGAAGAAGCATGGCGTTCCTTCTTTAAAACTCTGCAAAAAGTTAAGCAGGGAAGCACAGCAGTGAGTACATCTATTTCTTTAGTTCTTATTGCAGTACTTAGGTTGAATAGTCCACTCTCATGGATCTATTTCATAGAATCATAGAATCAAAGAGTTGGAAGAGACCTCATGGGCCATCCAGTCCAACCCCCTGCCAAGAAGCAGGAATATTGCATTCAAATCACCCCTGACAGATGGCCATCCAGCCCCTGTTTAAAAGCTTCCAAAGAAGGAGCCTCCACCACACTCCGGGGCAGAGAGTTCCACTGCTGAACGGCTCTCACAGTCAGGAAGTTCTTCCTCATGTTCAGATGGAATCTCCTCTCTTGTAGTTTGAAGCCATTGTTCCGCGTCCTAGTCTCCAGGGAAGCAGAAAACAAGCTTGCTCCCTCCTCCCTCCCTCCTCCCTATTTCTTCAAATAGCAAGTGACATGCCTTTAAAGTTGATTTCCAAATCACCATACTGATTGGGGTTTTTTTGCAGTCGTACCATTGCTTTTTAGAGGAGTAATGACCTTTTGAGAAGGTAACTTCTATCAAAATACTTCTGGATAGAGGCAAAAAAATCTGCTTTTAGGGTAATATGAATTGTTGATACTCCATTAGAATATCCAAGTTATATTACTAACAGTTGCAGCTTGTCCGACCAGTAAATGCTGTAGTTAAGGAATCATATATTTGAGTACTTAAGTCCAAACTCTGGAGTTGGTGCTGGAGTACATGGACAGACTGTAGGGATATTCGAGATCTATAGTCGAGTGCAGTTCTAAGGAAACGGTTCAGCCAAGGAAATAACTCTTTCCCTTTATATTCTGGGATCAAGGGAGAGAAAATCAAGCAGGGTTGAAAGAGGGACCAGAGACCTTGATTAGGCTGCACTGTTATAATTGATATAGTTGGCTGAAAGACTACTGCACAATTCATCCTTTTTTATTTTTTACAAAATTCTTTATGTGTTTGGCATACCATATCTACTCTGATGCTCACCTTTTTTTGTCTAAATTACATCACCAAAATTGAGGTGGACATTAGATCTGATGTGCATTGGAATCGCCTGGAGGGACCCAGAGTCCCAGGGGCTGGATGACACATTATCTATATAAATAAAAATGTAATGTTCGTTTGTGGGATWAACATAACTCAAAAACCACTGGACGATTTGCCACCAAATTTGGCCACAAGACACCTACTAACCCAAAGAGTGACCATCACTCAAAAAATTGATTTTGTCATTTGGGAGTTGTAATTGCTGGGATKTATAGTTMACCTACAATCAAAGAACATTCTGAACTCCACCAATGATGGAATTGAACCAAACGTGTCACACAGRACTCACATGACCAACAGAATATACTGGAAGGGTTTAGTGGGCATTGACCTTGAGTTTGGGAGTTATAGTTCATCTGCATCCAGAGGGCACTGTGGACTCAATGATGGATCTAAACTTGGTACAAATTTTCCATATGCCCAAATATGAACACAGATGGAGTTTAGGGGAAATAGTCCTTGACATTTGGGAGTTGTAGTTACTAGGATTTATAGTTCACCTACAATCAAAGAACATTCTGAACCCCATGAATGACAGAATTGGGACAAACTTCCCACACAGAAACCCCATGATCAATAGAAAATATTTAAGGCCACCCAGTCCAACTCACTTCACTAGGGCAAGAAAACATAATCAATGCCCTACTGACAAAGAGCCATCCAGCCATAGATATAGATCAGGGTTTCTCAACTGGGGGTCGGGACCCCTGTGGGGGTCGCGAAGGGAAGTCAGTGGGGTCGCCAAAGACCAGCAGAAAACACAGTATTTTCTGTTGGTCATGAGGGGTTCTGTGTAGGAAGTTTGGCCCAATTCTATCGTTGGTGGTGTTCAGAATGCTCTTCGATTGTAGATTAACTATAAATCCCATCAACTACAACTCCCAAATGTCAAGGTCTATTTTCCCAAAACTCTACCAATATTCACATTTGGACATATTGAGTATTCATACCAAGTTTGGTCCAGATCCTTCATTGTTTGAGTCCACAGTGCTCTCAGGATATAGGTGAACTACAAGTCCAAAACTCAAGATCAATGCCCACCAAACCCTTCCAGTATTTTCTGTGGGTCATGGAAGTTCTGTTTGCCAAGTTTGGTTCAATTCTATCATTGGTGGAATTCAGAATGCTCTTTGATTGTAGGCGAACTATAAATCCCAGCAACTACAACTTCCAAATCACAAAATCAACCCCCTCCCAACCCTGCCAGTATACAAATTGGGTATTTCTGCCAAATTTGGTCAATTGAATGAAAATACATCCTGCATATGATATTTACATGACAATTCGTAACAGTAGCAAAATAACAGTTGTTAAGTAGCAACAAAAATAATGTTATGGTTGGGGGTCACCACAACATGAGGAACTGTATTCAGGGGTCGTGGCATTAGGAAGGTTGAGAACCACTGCTCTAGAACATGGCTCTATAGCCCGAAAAAACCCACAAGAACCTATAAATTGTATGATTTTAACTGTATTTGTGTTTAGATTGGCTGCAGTAATGCGGGAGCGGCCTAAGTCAGAGGAGTGCGTTGCCATGGAGACGATGCAGGAGAGAGCGAAGTGGGAGGAGGAGCTTAGAGGGGAGAGTTTGAAAAACGACAGTTAAAAATCAGTTAGGGTTTAGGTATAGAGGAGTGAGCAGTCAGGAGTTAAGATTTGAGGGTGAGGAGTTGGTAGAGGAAAGATTAGGAGGTTGTAGCTGAAAGAGAGTGAATTGTGAAGCAAAGTTTCGAGGCTTTGGAAAGCCAGATTAAGCTACTGGAAGTTTCTTAGGCTAGAGAGGCTGATAAGGGAAACATAACCAGTAAGGCAGTGGTTCTCAACCTTCCTAATGCCGCGACCCCTTAGTACAGTTCCTCACGTTGTGGTGACCCCCAACCATAACATTTTCATTGCTACTTCGTAACTGTAATTTTGCTAATGGAAATATCTGATATGCAGGATGTATTTTCAAATTCCAGATACCCAATATGCCCAAATTTGAATATTGGTGGGGTTGGGGACGGAGGATTGATTTTGTCATTTGGGAGCTGTAGTGGCTGGGATTTATAGTCCACCTCCAATCAAAGACATTCTGAACACCACCAATGATTAAATTGAACCAAACTTGGCACACAGAACTCCCATGCCCAAGAGAAAATACTAGGAGGATCTGGTGGGCATTGACCTTGAATTTTTGGAGTTGTAGTTCACCTACATCCAGAGAGCACTGTGGACTCAAACAATGGTGGATCTGGACCAAACTTGGCACGAATACTCAATATGCTGAAATGTGAACATTGGAGGAGTTTGAGAAAAATAGACCTTGACATTTGGGAGTTGTAGTTGCTGGGATTTATAGTTCACCTACAATGAAAGAACATTCTGAACCCCACCAACGATAGAATTGGACCAAACTTTCCACACAGAACCCCCATGACCAACAGAAAATACTATGTTTTCTGATGGTCTTTGGCGACCCCTCTGACACCCCTCGCGACCCCCACAGGGGTCCCGACCCCCAGGTTGAGAAACACTGGTCTAAGGAAAGGCTAAAGAATAAGCTTATTAAGTATCTGATCAAGGGAGGATCAGATAAGGGAGATATCCCTGTATTGAAACTTTGTTTAGTAATAAGTGCTTCACCTCAGGAAGATACTGTGTAACCTGAAAGAGTGTAACATTCAACTAACCAAGCATTATTCTGAGTTCTATAAGAAAAGTTACAACTTGCAACCACACGCTTTGTGCTCAATAAATTTGTTAACTTTTGTTTGAAGACTGCCTCATCTCCATCAATTTTGCGTCCAGTGTGCCATTGCTCACAATATTATAACTTACCTCACATGGCGGCAGAAACGCAGGGGAAAGTAACCAAATAAATCTACATTCTTATCTCCAGTCACGCTACAATATATACAGTGTATTTATTTTTATTTATCGTGTATCATCAGCAACCATTGTATTACAATTCTAACAGAGCAAAACAAACACACAGATTCAAAAGAAAAAGGAAAAAAAACACACAGATTTTGCAAATTTGGTATTTGGTTAAATGTCTTTTGACCAGTATCTGGCCACTTGGAGTGCCTCTGGTGTTGCCGCAAGAAGGTCCTCCATCATGCATGTGGCAGGGCTCAGGGTGCATTGCAGCAGGTGGTCAGTGGTTTGTTCTTCTCCGCACTCGCATGCCGAGGATTCCACCCTGTAGCCCCATTTCTTAAGATTGGCTCTGCATCTCGTGGTGCCAGAGCGAAGTCTGTTCAGCGCCTTCCAAGTCGCCCAGTCTTCTGTGTGCCCACGGGGGGAGTCTCTCATCTGTATCAGCCATTGGTTGAGGTGCTGGGTTTGAGCCTGCCACTTTTGGACTCTCGCTTGCTGAGTTGTTCCAGCGAGTGTCTCTGTAGATCTTAGAAAACTATGTCTTGATTTAAGTCGTTGACGTGCTGGCTGATACCCAAACAGGGGATGAGCTGGAGATGTCTCTGCCTTGGTCCTTTCACTATTGGCTGCTACTTCCCGGCAGATGTCAGGTGGTGCAATACCGGCTAAGCAGTGTAATTTCTCCACTGGTGTGGGGCGCAGACACCCTGTGATAATGCGGCATGTCTCATTAAGAGCCACATCTACTGTTTTAGTGTGGTGAGATGTGTTCCACACTGGGCATGCATACTCAGCAGCAGAGTAGCATAGCGCAAGGGCAGATGTCTTCACTGTGTCTGGTTGTGATCCCCAGGTTGTGCCAGTCAGCTTTCGTATGATGTTGTTTCTAGCGCCCACTTTTTGTTTGATGTTCGGGCAGTGCTTCTTGTAGGTCAGAGCACTTGCAACCACACGCTTTGTGCTCAATAAATTTGTTAACTTTTGTTTGAAGACTGCCTCATCTCCATCAATTCTGCGTCCAGTGTGCCATTTCTCACAATATTACAACTTACCTCACGTGGTGGCAGAAACGCAGGGAAAAGTAACCAAATAAATCTACATTCTTCTCTCCAGTCACGCTACAATATATACAGTGTAATTA